CTTGAAAACTACTTCATTACAGCTAATAATAATAACTTCCAATCAGAGTAACCTATTTACTTAGAGCAAAACTAAAACTTGCTATCATTACAGCTAATAATAATAATAACTTCCAGTCAGAGTAACCTATTTACTTAGAGCAAAACTAAAACTTGTTATCATTGCAGCTAATAATAATAATAATTTCCAGTCAGAGTAACCTATTTACTTAGAGCTAAACTAAAACTTGTTATCATTGCAGCTAATTAAATAAACTTTTCTTACATTTCTACTTGTATAGATTAGAATGCATTGATTTGTCAGTCAGGTACTCTCAGTGTTAATGATATTTTTAGCCTTAACCTATAACAATTAATATTATATACTATAATATTACAGTTTACAAATAAGACAAAGCTACATGGCCTCCTATATATTATTTTTATTTAAATAACAATCTCAAAACCCTTTAACAGAATTTCATAAGAATTACCATAGTAGTAGCTACCAATCCAAATTTCTAGATTTTTTCTTTTCATGGTTTTGTAAATTTTCTGTCTGTGACTTCAAATACTTAAAAAAAGGGCAGAACTACAATTTATTTTCATATTTTCCTCAAACTTCAAAGGGCACATGACAAATCAGTGTAACCAGTTATGCAGACTTTCATCAAGATTCATAATCCAAATTAATACAAAAAGTAAGAGTGATAATATGAAAAGGTGTTTCTATTGATATTCTAATTGATATACAGTTGACGCTTACAGGTTTCAAGTCGTTTCAAATTACTAAACGTTTACCTTACCTACATTATTTTCTCATAATATGTATGTGATATATACCCAAAAAAGGTACAATATTAACAGGTTTTGTTTGTATCTTACCACATAAAAAGCTGAAATTACTTTTCTATTCAGAATACCTACACTGGGATAGTGAGAAAGAGATAAAAAATAGCCTGAAATGTATAACAAAATATAAGCATTAGCTCTACGTAAAAATAAAAAAATATGCATAATTATGTATTATCTCTAATTTTTTAATGATACAAGTTAAGAAGATTTTCATGTATTAGTCATCAGTACTTCATCATGTCACCAACCTGATTATGAAAATGTCACTCATTCCATTCCTAAATACTAAAAGTTTTATCACTTTTTCATCAATTATTTTTATGAATGCCATGGTAATTTTCTACAAACAAATTATACACAACTTATATATTTATAGATTTAAACCCATTTTTAGCTGTAATAATTAAAAGATATAGAAAGAGATACAATAAATGAAAACCACATCAAGTGAAACACATTCTTACAAGTGTCTCAGAAAACAAATTTTCTTTATTTATACGTTAGTAATTATATAGGTATTTAACTTTATCCCTCTGAAAAGGTTCTTTACACTCAATTTTCATTCTGGATCCAGGATGCTCTTTTAAAATGTACCACTATGACCATAATCATTCAACGCTTCCTCCATCACAGCCTCCACTAGAAGTGTTGTCATTAGATTCTTGACAAGATGAGGAGACACAGCTCGTGGTTTCATGGCTAACACTTTGTGTAACAGAAGAGCTGCTGGAGTGTTCTACCGAAGTGCTGTCTGACTTGATCACAGATGACGATTCAGTGCTATGACTTTCAGAAACTTCCACATTATTATTATTACTAGTTGCATCAGAATTGCTATCATTATTAGACGTGTTCTTACTCTTCTCTTCAGTTTCGTTAGAATTGTCACAGGTCTCAATCTCTGAATGGTTTCTATAGAATGTAGGCTGAGAAGAAAAAAATAAATGTGTTAGCAGCAATGAGTCATGTATACATACACACACCTCCCCCTATTTACCCAGATGGTTAATTCTCAAGAGGAAATTACACTTGAAGTGAATTTATTTAAGAAAAATAATACCAGCTTTATGTTCCAATTAAAAGTAATTTAAAACTAAAAACCTCATATAATATATAATGTTATTTGAAATAATTGTTTACTTTCTATAAAAACAAAATAAACTACTAAGTCCATATTTCAATTCCGTATTACACAAAACTTATCAGTTGGTTATAAATATAGTACAGCTAATATATTTTTATTACCATTATTTCAATATCACATTCAGCATGCTTACATTTCAAATTTTATTAAAAGTATGTGTTTTAGTGTCAGACCGAATTTTTTAATTTCATTGAGTAATCATTATATGCTATACAAGCACAGCTACAAGAAGCAAAAACAAGTATCAGTCTGATGCAAAATATTATTACATGCAGAATTTGAGTCTTACTTGTAGTTTGCATCAGATTTATTAAAAGAACAAGATATTGGACAATCAGTACAGGACCATATATTTTATTACTAATATTACAGTGATTTATATATATATAGGCAGATTTTGTTAAACAAGACCGATGTCTGTAGGTTTACTTT